TTGGGGGGGCTGGCGGCCCGGCCCCGCCTGCCAGACCGCCGCCAGAGCCCGAGCGCCACCCCGGAAGCACAGTCTGCGCGGCCCGGCCGCCATCCGCACCGACACTTCCAACTCTGAGGCTCACATCTCGCCTCCACCCGCCACGGCACGAGCACTGACGTTTCTAAGCAAAGGGAAGTGCACTGGCGGATTCTGATTCCGAGGCATCCTCCTGCAGACAACTCTGGGTGTCTCGGGGCGGATTGGGGGTCACGGTTTACATGACACTGGATTTACCCGTAAGCCAAAGGCTGCCATGACGCCCGCCAACGGGGCACCACAAAGGCGGAGGAAAGAGGTCAGTTTTTAAATCATAAACAGAGAGAGGCCGCCGAGGCCGGCTGTCTGCACGTGGAGACTGCGTGCAGACTGGGCAGAGACGGGAGCACACCCCGCCCGCCCACCCCGGGCTCGGGGAGCGCGCGTGGCCATGAGGGGGCGGTGCTCCCAGGGGGCAGTGCCCGTCTCCCAGCAGCTGTGCCAGGAGCTCGAGGGAGAGGAGGCGCGTCCTGTGCCTCTGTCGGCAGGGGCAGATACGAGCCCGTGCTTTTCAAGTAAATTCGCTTACAGAGAAAAGGGTTCTGAACGATTTTAAAACGTGTGTGTGAATAAACCATTTAGCACTCTGCACTGCCCACAAGTAACTCAATAAGCATGTTACGTTTTGCTGTAACCTCTTCAGTGGGGACATGTTTGTGAACAGTCCTCATTCTCACAGGCCCCGCACAGTTCTTTCGGTCACGACACCGGGCTCTGACCGACACAGACAAGAGCAGGGACGCGCCTCACCTGTAAAATGTCCTGGCTGACCCCCACGGTGATGCTCAGCTGCCGGCCAGGCTGAGTGGCCTGGTTGGCTTCCACCGGCCCCGGGTCCGAGAGCTCCAGGAGCTGCTGGATGACATCGGTCACTGCCTGTGAAGTCTGCTGACCCGATGCTGACGTCACTTGGACGTCTGTCTGCTGAAGAGGTAAAGTCTGGAACAGCGTGGCCTGAAACAGCAACATTTTCATTAAAAATATAAACGATTACATTAATTGGTACTTCAATTTTTTTTTTTTTTAACAAAAGGAAAGAAACAGGTATATCTCCAGTACGAGCGTTAAAATCTAGCAATATCCCAAATTTTAAACGTGATGCCTCACTGATTTTTATGTTTGGCACAATACTGGCTCTTAAAACAACATATTCAATGAATTTTGCTCCCACGATTTTTTTTAAGTTTTTTAAGTGGTAGTAGATGCTATCAATTCAAGATGGGGAGCTGAGCACAGAAACCTGTTAGCTCATTACAATGAAGTTAGGAAATAAATAAAGAAAATAAAAAGAAATCTGTGGTGAAAACATTCCAAGGTTTTCTGGAAAACGGGCGCTGGGGGTAGACTCCGTGAAGTTGCAGCTGACGTGTGTGTGGGGGAGGGGGGTGGATCCGATTTCTCAGAAACGTAGGAATCTGGACATCCTGTCAGGGACGGGGGAGAGCGGAGCCATGACTCTGCATGACATTACGCTGGGGGCGCAGGACACCATGCGCCTAACAAACCCACAGAGTGCACGGCGCGGAGACGCACCCTAACACACTGCGCTTCAGTCAATGGCAGACTGCTGGCGTCCGCTCATCGGCCGGAACGGACACACCATTGAGCAAGGCGTTCCCACGGGAACCATAGAGTCGGGGGCCACGCGTGGGGTTCTGTGTGCTTTCCGCTCATTTCCTATAAACCTAAAACTGCTCTAAAAGATAAAGTCATTAATTAAAGAAAATAAAGACTTTCTGTGGAAAAATATGTAGGACTGACAATTAGCCCCTTGTCTTCCTCCATAGAACAGATGGCAGTTAGGCGCTTACCTTCAGACCAAAAAAAAAAAAAAAAAAAATGAGGGTTACCTTAAAAAGAGATAAAAATAAACTCCCTGAGGAGAACTCGGGCACCTTTTGTGGCACTTAACTCTCCAGACTAAATAAAAAGCCTTCTGTGTTCTGCCACCAGGGACCCCAAGTTTAAGGGCTGGTCCCTGGCCAATCACAAGTAAAGTGACCCTGGAGGTGATCCAGCTCCACCCTGCACGAAAAGCTCACACACAGGTGTGCTGCTGCCTCACTCCGAAACACCAAGAGGCACCAAGAGCTATAAGCTCTCTGACGAGACCCGTGGGGGGCGATGCGGGGAACTCGGAGAAAAAAGCCTTTAACCGGAAGAGGCTGACCCGGTTTCAGCAGGAAGTGCACCCAACCAGAAGAGAATGCCTCGAAAAAGAAAGAATCAGACCACAGAAGAGAGCCCCCAGAAATTAAAGACCCAGCTAGCTAAAAATAATTCAATGAAAGAATCACAATGAAAAATAATTCAATGAAAGCGCCCAGAAATTAAAAATCAATGAAAGAGTCATGAGACCGAGCTGAAGAAACCTTTAAAAGTAGAGCAAAAAGGCCAAGAGTTAGAAAAAGTACAAGGAAAAGTAAGAGACACAGAACCACTCGGGAGGCAAACAGGGCCTCCCGCCAGTCCTGGGGACAGTGCACACGGCGGCGTGGACAGGCCCCCCGCGGCAGTCCGGGTGGGGAGGGGGGCAGAGGCAGGTCTCCAGACACCTCGACTGCATTTCCAGATTTTTATCCAGAATGTAAGTTTTAAAAATTATCTGGACTGTCGCTCCAGGTTATTCACTATATCCATGTATTTGATTTGCATACTGCCAAAGGAAAGAGCGAAAACTCTTAACGTTTGGCTGATTACACTGAAAATTATACTAAAAGTATACTCAGCCCAAAACAGAATTTTAAGATTTCATTACTGGGCTCTAATTACTCTTCGGTCTTGGCACTTATTCACAACATCTCCCTGAGGAGTGTAAGCTAAGGGACCACCCCCAGATGCAAACATCATGAGAAAAGAAAAGAAAGACAGACACTAACCGTGACCCTGGAGCTCAGGGACAAACGCTAGTGGGCCCGTTTGTCTACTGGCAGGGAGCAGGCGGTTGCTGGCGCAACACGAACCGCCAGCCTCCTGCCTTCCCAGCAGCACTAACTCCTGAGACCGTCCCAGCTCTGCCGCTGCGAAGACACCTGCTCTACGCTTACAGTTTGCCACTCACTATCAACTGAAAGGGTGGAAGTAACCGGCCCAGGCTGAGCTACAAAAAAAGAATAAACGTGTGTGTGTGTGTGTGTGTTTTGAGCCATTCGATTTTAAACACGTGTACTGGAAAATACAATTTAGTTTCCTGGAAGTCCAACGTCTCAGGAAAAATTATCACATTAGACGTGAAAACATATATCTTGAAAGGGTAATTGATTTCCAAATTATAACAATGATACAAAATATTCAATAATAATTGTCAATAACGCTGTAGGAATTATAGTTACATTTGTCTTATTTTTACTGGTTCAGGTGACAGTTCATGAAACAAGATCATGTAGCATTATCCTGAAATTTAAAACATTGATTTTTCCCCACTCATTGGAAAAAAGGAGCACGTTACCGTACACATAAACCTTTCACGGCACCTTTACGACACTCAGTGTTCTAAATAACATGCAATCTCACGGGTCACCATTAAGACGGCAGATTTTGGTAAAAGGAGATCCTTCTCTGAGCCTGCTCACTCCACTCACCGTCAGGATGTGAGCCGTCTCTGCAGAGCCTGCGGGGTTCTGCGGGCCCCCCATATGCATCTTGCTGATGTGAGTGTTCAGGCTGCCTAGACTCTTAAACATGCAGCTACACTCCGCACAATTATAGGTAGGGCCGCTCTTGACCTTGAAGAACAAATGAGAAAAAACAACATTTTATGACTAATTACTTAAACTATGACAAACACTTAAACTATGACAAATCGTGATGTATCATTCCACGAGAAACGACAGCAAAACCTAGCCCTCCAACATCACTTTGGGTTGTAAGGGAGACGGCTCTCGACTGAGCGGCCCGGGTCTCTGTGCCAGCACAGCGCAAGAGCAACCGAAAGCCACGGTGCTTTCTGGGCCCGAACTGGCTCCCGGGAGAAACCAGCTTTCAGATCCCTGACTCGGTAGGAAGCGGCCATCTGACGGGGCTGAGCGCGCGGTCAGCAACGGAGGCCGGAGTTAGACAGCGGCTCGGCTGTGGCTCGGCCTCCTCCCAGCCGGCGGCAATGACAGGCAGTGAGGGGCGGTGACGGGCATGGAGGGGCGGTGAGGGGAGGTGACGGGCGGTGAGGGGAGGTGACGGGCGGTGAGGGGCGGTGACAGGCACGGAGGGGCAGTGAGGGGCGGTGACGGGCACGGAGGGGCGGTGAGGGGAGGTGACGGGCGGTGAGGAGCGGTGACGGGGTGCACGTTCTCCGTCCGTGGAGCCAGTGCTCCCTACGGGCGGCTCCTTGCGAACGCACGCCCGGCCCCAGCACCGGGCTGTCCTCGTGTCACCAGGCCACCTGCACTCGTGACTGCAGCTAGGGCGGCGGGCCTGCAAGGGACCGGCCGCGCTACACCTGGACAAGACGTGCAGAACTGCAGGCCGAGCGTCATCACTGGGCTGGATCGTGTCCAGCGGCCGCCCCCACAGGGCCCTCGGTACCCAAGTGCCTGGGCCAGGCCGGGCTCACCTCCGAGTGGACCCTCTGCACGTGGGACTGCAGGTTCCCCTTCTGCGAGAAGGCGGCGGGGCAGAAGGCGCAGGCGTGGGGCTTCTCGCCCGTGTGCTTGACCATGTGCGTCTGCAGCGCCCCCTTCTGGTTGAAGGCCTTGCCGCACTCACTGCACTTGAAGGGCCTCTCACCTGCAGGTGAGAGAGGGCATGAGGACAGCGACGGTCACCGAGGCACATGCAGGCCGCCAGCGCAGATCCCACCGCCCCCGGCCACCTCCCCCGAGTGCCCGACGCCCACAGAGCCGGGGCGCGCATGGGCCAGCCGGCCCGAGGCAGCGCCTCGCTCCGTGTGCGTGAGCTCGGCACGGTCCCACGGGCAGGCACACGCACCTGTGTGTATCCGGACGTGCCGTGTCAGCTGGCTTGGCTTCTGGAAGGTCTTCCCACAGTGCGGGCAGGAATACGAGAACCCACTCCGGTCCACGTTGCGGTTGTAGGGCCTCGTGCCGGACACCCTAGTGCGACATGGTGCCCGCTGAGTTCCTGGTGCCACCCCTCCAGAGGGCCCCTCCACACAAGCAGCTGGCTTGCCGTGAGGGCCTGCTCCAGTGCGAACCCGCCCCCCCAGGTTGTGAGTGTGCGTCTGTGTCCCCTACACACGCACGCACACATACTAGTTTCACGTACACAGTATCACAAAAATCCACTTTTTCCCCATCTAATGAAAAGACAGACGTAGTCTGTTTTAGTTTGTGTTTTGGGGACGGTCGGCACGTCCCTCCCTGCGGCATCAAACACCAAGGCCTCTGCCGCTCCGATGCCACGCTGCCGTGAGCCGTGCCGCACCCCGCCCCTGCTCACAACCACCGCGAGGCCACTGGTCGCTGCGGTCCGACCCCCGCGCACCAGCCCAGGCCCGACTCCAGTCCTGCTCTGCTGGCCAGTGCAGTGGCGGCTGTAACCAAGCGTGTGGCACGAGCGGAACCCGGCCTTTTCCCTGCCCGCGACAGGAGACAGTGACGCCAGCGTGCACGCAAGCCAAGGCGCCAGCGGGCTCTCCCCTCCCCGCCCTGACCTCAAGTCCACCTGCAAGAGTGGCCGGGTCACTCTGAACACCTCCGAAGACGCCCGTCTCGCCTCTCCCGCCTCCTCGTCCCGCCACGCTGACTCAGGCCTGTCGGCTGCCACCCCGGCCCACGGCAGCGTGGCCACCCCTGACGTCTGGGCAGCCCGCTCCAGGCGTAAAACCCTCCGACGGCTCCCACTGCACCTGGAATGAATCCTCATTCCCACAGTGGCTCCTGAGGCCCGACAGCCCGGCCGGCCTCCTCCCCTCAGCCGCAGCACCCACCCCCGCAGGCCAGCGTGATTTTACTTCCGTTTCCACAGGACCGCCAGGTGACACAGGCGCACTGCCTGACCCGTTCTGGGACACTGTCTGTCATCCTTACTAAATGATATCCATGGCAACGAGGCTGTCGGTGAGGACCCAGAGCCTGTGCGGTCTAGGGCGTGATGGCCACATAAACATCTAGTCACCTCTCCTCCCTAGAACCTTCAGGGACACGTCAAACATGCCTGTATTAAAACATCATTAAAATAAAATTCTACTGTGTACTGTACACGCATCACATCCTGGGGCTGAAAATTCACTGAAGTAGCCGAGTATGCGGTGCACACCGCGCCAGTCCACCACAGGCACACGAAGGAGCTGGGGAGACAAGAGAGCGTGACCAAAAGGGATGCTCGTCCGCATTTCTGAGACGCGGTGCCTGGCAGGACGGCTAGGTGGCTCACAGTCTGCGGACACACCATCAACTGTACCGGCTGCTGTGGCCCCTGCTGTTCTGGTCGTTGCTGCTGAAAGGTTCCGACACGTCCTGGACACTGGGACTTGGAGAGACGGCACGCTAAGGTGGGCAGCAGGCGCGAGACCGTTGACACTGGCTCTCACGCGTTAGTGGAGAAACTAGCTCGGTACATGACAACCGACCGCCCCACGAGCTACTCTGAGCACAAAGTGCTAGAAGGAACTTGTATTTAATTTTATTAAGAAAAGGGAATATCAGTAAAAATATGTAATTGGGAATAGGCCAGATATGAAAATGTGAAAGACATGTTACGTTTTACTAGGAATAAATGTATAAATGTTTGTAAACACAGGCACGGTTGATAACATCACGAGCTCTAAAACCAGACCATTAGGATTCAAACCCCTAACACTGTAAAACCTTGGGAAAGTTGCTTGGTCTCTTTTACTCAGATTTTCTCATCCACAAAGGGGGGACATAAAAGCATCCTGGCCTGATGAGGTCGTCGTGAGTATCTCGTAAGTATCTATGTACCCGCTCAGCAGTGCCGGGCACGCATGGCTGCTAATCAGTTAGGCAGCACAAATAAACCAGTTCATTGAAAGGGGGCTAATTTGGTCCTCGTGAATCCACTGCACGCACGGTCACCTGCCCGTGAACATGTGTCCCCAGCAGTGCCTTGCTCTACAGTGTTTAGCATTAAAAGGCGAGCTAGAACGTCCCGCCTGTGCCGCCTGACGCAGGTCGACCTGTGGAGCTCGTCCTCCCTGCGGCACGCGTGAAGCACAGGTTAGAACGTCCTGACACCACCCCGGGCTGGCGGCCCCGCTCGTGGCTAAAGCAGCCGGCACTTCTAACCAGTCACGGCGAAGCTCGCCGGTCTTTATGATGCCGCGCAGGTTCCCTTCATGCCCGAGTAAAGGCTCGTACCTGATTTTGTAATGAGTCTTCATGTGCTCCTTCAGCTGGGACGACGTCTCCAGCTCTTTCCCGCAGGCCTTGCAGGTATGGACCCGGTTGGCGGCCAGCTCCTGGCGGTGCTCCTCCATGTGGACGGCCAGCTGGCTCTGCAGAGTGAACTCATCCCCGCACTCGGAGCAGATGAGGTTCTGCGGAGGGCCACGAGCAGAGCGCACGCATCAGCACACACCTCGAGTCTCAGAGAGCGAACACTGCACACGGTCACACGCGAGTCACACTTCCCCCGGGACACTTCCTCACTCCCCAAAACACACATCCAAATACGACCACGTAAAACCATTTCATTGCGGATAGAACAAGGGATGAGGGAACAAGGCGATTCCTGAGCAAGGTGAACTGTTACAAACTGGCTGTCGGGTGACTGCATTTTGTCCATCTGTGCTGTGAAAATTTTAGAGAAGCACAATGACTTCACTACCACAAAAGGGTCGGCAAAGTTAAGATTATAGTTTGGTAAACTACCTCAAAGGAAAATGACAGCTGATAAATTTTCAAATAAACGCCCAAGGGTACCACACACAAAGGATTTCAAAGTCTTACTGCAAAAAGAAAGAACGTAAAAGAGCTCAAAAACTTTTAACATTTGAACTATAATATTTTGGATATATTTTCATAAATAAATAGAATACATTAAAATAAAATTTATTTCATCTGCTTTTTAAAAACTTGTTTAATACGGCGACTATCACATTTAAATTACTCCTGTTTCATGCAGCGGGACTGGTCCAGGTGTTCCGGACGGGGGAGAATCAAGAGATTCTCCAGGCAGCTGTCCACTACGAGCCGCGAGCGTCTGAGCAGGTTGCCCACGCCATGTGTAAGTGACACAGGGGCGTCAGTAACACCTGCCCTCACCCATGCCAGGCGATGCGTCACGAGGCTGAGCAGTGCGTGGCACGGAGGGAGCTCAGCAACAGCTCCGAGCAGGGGAAGCGCCGACTCGGCACAGCCCAGCACGCACGCTTCCTCGGAACCCCAGGACCCGACCTTTACCTAGACGGCCCCCCAAACAACTGTCCAAACGCGAAAAAAGGCCAGGGCAGCCCGCCAGTGAGCACAGCCCGGGAGCTCCAAACGGCGAGATACACTGCTATTTCTGTCCACTAGAATCTCTTTCAGTTACTGCACGAAACAGTCCTGGGAATGTATATTAAATGAGAATGAGGTTGTTCATGGACACTGCTCAGCATCCTTTGCAGAAAAAGATGAGGGTGAATGGACTATTTTGATTAATCCAATAACAATTTCAACTTAAGTAACTTTCAATTAGTATTATTATATCATAATTTAAGGAAATAACAAATGACTAGATTGTCAGTATCTCGTTGATAATACAGAAAATTCTTCCCAGGAAAGCGTTAAAAAGAAGAAAATACCTAATATAATTTGCTGCATGTCTTTAAAAAAAATGACCTCCACACTCCTGAATTTTTATGGCGAAATGTGTTTTCACTAATGCTCCATCAAGTCTTCCATTTTATAGCTATGAAGCAAAACTTGACTTGTCACCCTCCCGTCCTCACCCTTAATCTTCGCTGCTCTGGCTCAGATTTACTGCTCAATCCCATGCACGTTTTACTCATTTTTTTTACCAATAATCAGATTAGTGTATTTCAGGAAATATCTGCATAAACGCCACTTAGAAATTTGTCAGAATTCTCTGAGTGAAGACCCTGGTGGACGCACACCTGACTGTCACGGTGAAGGCGCAGTGAAGTATGCCCTGGGCCAGAAGGTCTTGACACGGTCACTCTGTCCACGTCCAGCGGCCGAGGAGCTAGGGGTGCTCCCCACCCCCCACGGCCTGGCAGTGTCTGGGGAGGTCCTGGGTGAGAGGCGCGATACCCCACGGCAGCCAACGAACTTCCCACGTGAGGGAGGCATCCTCCGTGCTCAGGGCTAATGTCGGGTCCTCTTGCTGGAGTGCCAGCTAGCCTGCCCCAAGGACTGTCAGTGACCGTAAGTGGGAGGCAGACATCACCCAGGGAGACGTGGAGCTCTCACCAGATGCCATCGTGCTGAAGGTGCGACGCCCTCAACAAGTCAGGGTACGCGACACGATAGGACTGGCACCCTGAGGCCCTCCCGCAGCACCTGCCCTATCACCGCCCGCCCCAGGGCCCAGGCTGACCCCTCCCTCGGCCCCACTGAGTCCCACTTGCCCACCCCGCCCCAGCTCCAGTGACAATACTGCCCTGCCCTCTGCCCCAGGCTTGTGGGGAGCCGTGCCTCCTTTCCCACCGGACTTTGCCTCCGCTGACCTCAAAACAGCGCTCAAGGCGCAAGGCCAACCTGAAGCCCGCAGACAGCGGCACCCCCGGCCCCCGGCCCCGGGCACCAGGCCCGGTACACGGACAGCCGCCTTCTGTGGGCAGCGCGTCGGCGTGGGGGTGCCTGCGCCGTTTCCCCGGACGTCCTGTGTCACCCCTCCTCAGTCAGTGGCCTACTCAATGAAAGATGGGAACTTCCATAGTCACGTGCATTCTAAGAAAATGTCCCTAAATGATTTAAAAACTACAGTAACTTTTTGGGTTTACTTCTCTGGTTTTGAGATTTAATTTTATAAAGTAGTGACCACTACGGATTTTAGATTATTAATCTCAAATCACTTTAGTGTTCTAGAAGTAAAAATTCAAAAATGGGACACCTTAAACTACAACAGTAATTCCGGTTTATGAGTACACATAAGAAAATACGCTCATAAATAATTCTTAAATCAATGTTATTGAAGCATACGTCACACGTGACAAAAATGGGGCCCTCTAACTGTGACTTTTCACCTCTCTGACCCGTCGTGTCACCTCAGAGTTTAACCCCCAAAAGGCAACCTTACTCCTGCTTCTGCAGTTCCAGGGGACACGGCGCTGGTGGCCCCGACCCACTGCCAGGAGCCCCAGCTGCTTGTGTCTTGAGTGGCCCTCGACCTCCATGGGCCTACGGCACCTCATCAGACGCCAAAGCTTTGCATGTCCCACCAGCTGGAGCCCAGGCTCCTCCGGCCAGACCGGAAACGGTGAACACGTTCGGCGGCTGCCACACACCTGCCTTTGCGTTAGTGCACTCGGAGCCGCAGGTGGTCACCAGACACTGGGTTAGTGCAGAGTGTCACGTGGTCACCAGACACTGGGTTAGTGCACTCAGAGTGTCACGTGGTCACCGGACACTGGGTTAGTGCACTCGGAGCCGCAGGTGGTCACCGGACACTGGGTTAGTGCACTCGGAGCCGCAGGTGGTCACCAGACACTGGGTTAGTGCAGAGTGTCACATGGTCACCAGACACTGGGTTAGTGCACTCGGAGCCTCACGTGGTCACCAAGGACACTCTTGAGCTTCAGCTCTTTGCTGGCCGCTCGCTGCTTCTCTTTTCTTGCTTCCCAGGGTTTGCTCTTAGGCTCCTTCAGAATTTCCCTCGGACTTACTCGTACCATTTTTGAGTACGCTGCTCTGTTGGTTTCCTTGGCAGCTGCTCTGCGTGCCACACCTGTGTAACCATCTGCTGGCATCGCTTCTCGCTTTCCGGCGATGCGGAGATCCTGTCTCCACACCAGTCCTGGGTCCCGCCCCCTTTTAATATGACTGTCCTCAGCATTTCCTCCAGGGACACTGAGCACACCGGAGGATCATTTTTGCTTCAATCATCGAGAGGGACTTAGGAATCCAAGGGGAAGACGATGTATTATATTCACCCCAGTTTTTATTTTATCCGTCTCAAAAGTCCGGTATCAGGCAGGGTTCTCCAGGGAGACAGAGCCAACGGGATGTGTGTGTGCAGACAGCGAGTGTCATCATGGGGACCAGCTCACACGAGTGTCCCACCGTCTGTGGTGTGGGCTGGCGGGCGGGGGACCCCAGAAGGCAGTCAGCTGGAGAAGCACATCTTGCTTTGGGAAATCAGTCGTTCTGCTCTATTAAGGCCTCCAACTGATTGGGTTAAGGACCACCCACATCCCAGAGAGAACTGTTTGCTTCACATTCACTGGTCTAAACGTTAACCTCACCCCAAACCACCTCCCAAGCTGACCAGAGAACTGACCACCATGCTGCCATCTGCTTCCAGGGTCCTGGGCCTCCTTGGGTCAGCACCTCTGTTCTGCCTGGACGGGCCCCTCCAGCCATCGCTGAGGGCAGGCCTGCTCACAGCAGGTTCCGAGCGCACCCCTTCAGCGGAGTCTTCACCGACCCCCCTCCCCTCCCCCCTGGGCGTCTCCACCACATACAGAACCCATGCCTGATGGTGCCTTCCCCTCAACAACTGAAGTGTGCCGCTGGCTCCTGGAGCCCACGGATCCAGATGTCACCGAATCAGTGTGGCGCCGAGGTGACAGATGCTCTCCCCGTGCCCTCTTCAGGGTCACTTCCTGCCCTTGCTTTTCGGAAGTTCGAACACGATGCATCTTGGTGCATGTCCCTTGGGCTTACCCTGCTATGGTGGGTTCGCTCAGCTTCTCGAACGTGTGCGTTACGCCTGCCACCAAATCTGGGTCACCTTCTGCAAGCACAGTCTCGGCCGCTCTCCCTCCCCATCCTTCTGCAAGTCCTCTGACACACATGCGGGGTCTTCGATCACTGTCCCAACGTTCCTTGAGGCTCTGGGAACTGCTTTAATCGACTTTTTCCTGTTGTTCAGCTCAAGTAATTTCTACTGATCTGTCTTCAAGGTCACTGATTCTTTCTTCTGTCTTTTCTGGTCTACTGTTGAGACCTTTGACTGAGTCCTTTATTTCAATCACCAGCTTTCTCAGTTCAATAACTTCCCTTTGGTTCTTCCAGTCTCCATTTATGCCATGTCTTCATCTCCATTTCATCCATGTTTCAAGACAATTCATGAGGCATTTGTAGGATGGTTGCTTGAAAAATGCTTGCCAGGTGATTCCAACATCTAGGTCTTCTGCCGTCTCTCCCCACTGGACTGGGACTGCCCTGCTTCCTAGCACCACACGTGGTTTTCGATTGCACCCTGGACACCTGGGGTATTACGCTGTCAGTCTGGATCTTAGCTTGCCTTGTAGCAGCAGCCGCCTGCTTAGATGTGGCACCGGACCAGGCAGGGGTGGAGGGCCCACTGGAAGAGGGGGTGGGCGGGACATCGCGCATCGCCTGGTTAAGTCTCTTCGCTGCTGGCGGGTGA